AATGTTCATGGATTTATTTCCTATTCTGAAATGATACAATTTATCCTCAGGGATGCATTTTAGTAGCTGGAAAAAATAATGAACACTCAGTGAAGCTGATATCCTATTATACAACTAATTCTGCTTAAAGCAAAGTTCCACCCAAAAGGGGAAGTTCTGCTTTAAAGATTGGGCCCCACTCCCCATTAAGGATTGGCACTTTTGGGGAGTGGGGGGGCGGGTACCCGAATTTGACAGGTACCCGCTCCCACTTCCACTGCAATTGCCTAGGTGATCGGAAGCAGAAGTTGTCCTCCTACCCCCCCTCCATGAAGTCTTGTGGGACATGTGACAGGTCCCAGAAGATGACGGGGCCATTCAGGATGTGCAGCGCTACTCGCACATGTGCAGTGGACACCTAGCTGTGAAGCCGCAAGCTGTGCCTACACTGAAGATGCCAGTGCCTGGAATACAGGAAGGCCGGTGAAACAGGCTGTGGCGGGGGCAACGCGGGATGGTGAGACTGGTGAGTGGCTGTTTTTTAAAAGTCAGTAGCTACAGCTTTTGTAGCTGCTGACTTTTTTTTTTTTTACAGAGTGAGAGCAACTCCTCTTTAAGTGTATTTTTCCACAATGTGCTGTCCTCCCTATTCCCTCATACAGTATTATGGGATATGTAATCTTTGCTGGGGATACAAACTTACCCTTAGATCAATCCCTTGACTAATCAGAATCAAATAAAATCTGGCTTTGAGCTTATGTCTTATCACAAAGGGCCAAAAAGACATTGAGAAGGGCCAAGCACAAGTGTTATACCTTTGATGAGAACAGAGCACTCTTCTGACTCCCAAGCTGTCTCCTAGAGATACAAACATGTCATTAACCCCAAATGCATGTGTACAATAGCGTCCTGTCACAATACCCTTAACTTATCATGTGCAAATTATTCGATTTTTAGTAAAAACTATATGCAAAATTGAACTTTTACAAACTTATGGCAGAACATTTATTTAGTGAACTTCCAATTCCTACATAAGACCATACACACAGGGACTTTACAGACAAAGAGATCAAACCACAATAAAATACCTAAATCCCTAAAAACTGACATGTTCTTGGGGCACTATTGTAGCAAATATTGTATGCAGATGTATTGACCCCTAATATATGTAGATTTTGAATAATATTAAAAGTAGCCAGAGCCTACAATTGAAAGAAAACATGGTGCTTATTCATGTTCTCCCAAAACTGGGCAGATTTCTGGTACACTGCCCAAATTATTGCCACATTTAACTCATAAGCATGGACCTAAGGTCCTAGCCAACAGGATCATTGCCTTCTTGTCCTTCTGTATACTCATCACAATCAAGTGGAATTCATCCCTAACCACCTGACTTCTGACCAGACTAGACCACCAGGTCACTGTCCAAACAAATTGGGATAAAAGAGGGGTCAGAACGAATATGTTACTTTTGTTAATCTCATTCAACACAATAACCTAGGATCATCTCCTTTTTGCCTTGGAAATAATAGGTTGTGGCCTCAAATTCTTACTTAACCAGTTCCGCGCGGGACATTCACTGTTCTGGATGAACGTCATATGACGAGCACCCCACAGGCCATGCTGCGGTGTGATCTGTTACCTGCTGTATCCACCGGACACAGCGCATGACTGAACAGTGTACTGGCCACTGCCAGTACCATGTGATTACTGATCACCAATTCAAAATCAATTTGATTTTCTTTCTCTCATCTCCCCAAACAGTAATTGGGGACTTATGAGGCACTGTCTAAGTATAAAATCAATGTTCTGAAATCATAAGCCCAAAACATTACTCAACATTACTATATCCTCTCAACAACTTGAGAGTCTGCAATGACCTTTAAGTGGTCTACTTCTCATATTAAGTATTTGGACAACCTTACACAGACAGATTTTTTAACAAAATGTTCGATCATTGGCTAAAAAGATTTATCTTTGAAACTGGAACAATGCAGCCCTCACTTGGTTTGGATGTAATGGCATTCTGAAAATTAATATTCTACCACAGATCCTTTATCTACTACAAACTCTTCCAGTGTCATTACCACAGAGTTTTCGGAAATATTTAAGGACTCATTTCCTCCACTATCTTTGGGGAGGAAAGAAGGGCAGAATTAGTAGGGCTATTCTGACTTTACCTAAATCAAGGGGCAGCATTGGGTTTCAAGTTCCTATCAAATATTACGTCGCAATTCATTTGATGAGAGTGATTGATTGGTGCACTCAGAAGGCAATAAAACCATGCTTGGAATTAGAACAGGCTGCTATCAATTTTCCTTTGCAAGGTATTATCTTGGGCAATCCTTCCTTCTTTCTGAGTAGACACATCATGACCCACCCCCTCATCATGGCTACTCTGTGAACTGTTAAACCCATTTTCAAAATATTTCCCTCTTTCACTGTATCCTAGTCTGCTTCTGCCAATTCTCAATTCTGATTTATTACCACATAGCTCCACAGACTTACAATTTCATAATCTCTAAGGGTATTTAGACTATGTTATTTCTATTTGCAGAACCCTCTCTACAGAACAAACCTATGTCCATTGCAAGCGTACAAGCTATGTTTGGTTCGGACTTGCTTTCAATTAGGCTCCTGTTTGTGATCCCTTCCACCAAAACAGGGCAGCACAGTGGCTAAATGGTTAGCACTTCCACCTGGCAGTACTAGAGTCGTTGGTTCGAATCCCAGCCACGGCACCACCTGCCTGGAGTTTGCATGTTCTCCCTGTGCCTGTGTGGGTTTCCTCTGGTTTCCTCCCACGCTCCAAAGACATGGAGGTGAATTGGATTCTGTCTAAATTGGCTCTAATATGTGAATGTAAGTTAGGGACCTTAGCTTGTACACCCCTTGAGGGTTAGGGACTGATGTGAATGTGCAATATATATATAAAGCACTGTGTAAATTGACAGTGCTATATAAGTACCTGAAATTAATAATAATAAAACACCAAACTGTTTACACTCTAGCACCATTTGAAAAGATCTGTAATGAAAGAGTGCCAATCAGACATGCCTTTTCCCAATTCTACTCTTTGTTGATAGCCAGAGATCATCAACAGAATCTGAGCTTCCTGACAAAATAGAAGCATGATTTGAGTATGACATTCTCTTTGGACCAAAAAAGCTAGAATTATTTTCTAGGCTCACAAGGCTTCATTGGCAAACACATATCAAGAAAATGGTTACAACATACTCCACAGGTTATATAAAACGCCATGTAAAAGTCTAAACGTTTACATATGATGCATATTTTATGGGACTGCCCAGTGATTAGCACTTTTTGGTCAGAAGTAATATCTTCCATTAAAGATTTAACCAGATGGACACTTGTAGATTCAGCAGCCACCTATCTTTTGCATGGTATGCATTTATCCTATAAATGTTTCAAAAACTCATTTTTAAAACAGCTCTTGAATGCTGCAAAAGCGTGCATATCAGCATTCTGTAAAACTTTTTTTATCTTCATTCGAACATTGGCGTATTAGGGTATTTGATATTGACTTTATGGAGCAGTAACTGTATTTACTAAAAATCAATCCGAGAAACATTCCAAGATTTGGTATCCTCATTTTCTCAAGCTGGGAAAATGACTGCCACCAGAGGGAGGAGCTGGGCCCTCCCTTCCCCCACTTAATCCTCACTTCCCTTTTCCCCACTTTCCTTTCCCTACCCCCCTTCCCCTCAAAGGCTTCCTTTGAGAACATGCATGTGCACAAAACGCATCAGGGAGGAGCTTACATGCTGATGTCACGCCACCATGTCCATGTTTGGTCCGGTGGCCATCTTTGTAAGTGTGGCCGCAGTTTTTTTTCCATGTAGATTTTATGTGTATGTTTTCATTTTAAGTTAATTACTACACTGTGAACCTCCAATTTGGGCTCCATGTGGGTAGCTCTTTTTTCAGGACACATTACCTATGGCTCAGAACCAGCCCTGAGAGGAGGAGATATGTTTGTCTTGAAGTACCATTTGTTGCAAGCTCATTTGATCTTAGTTCTGGTGAGTGCATATTGGTGAAGGATCTCACAGATGGTTTTTTTTTTTCCACATTTGGATGTCACTTCACTAAAACGAGAACTGTGGTTCATACGGACTGTATGTGCAGTCACTCATCCCACTTAGCACTTACTTTGTTTATGCGCACAGAATATGGAAGCCTTTGATTTGGGTGTTGCATCATAGCATCAAGGACTTTCATTTATATGGATTATTTGTGCTGTCATCATTATTAACAATTTATTAATAATATTATTTACATTGATCACATTTTCCTCTTTGATATGTAGTGTGGTGGTCACTTCTGAATGTTGATAACATTTTTGGGCTACTGTATTATAATATTTTCAGTTTTTATTTTCACCATTTGGTATTTTATTATAAGCTGGATACATTTGTATTATTTCTTATAGCGCAGCACTTTTGTTTTGATATATTTTATTGTTATGGAGTGAGTTCACCATATGTGCTAGCTGCTCTCAGTTTTCTAAGCACTCACTATATACTGTTTGTTTTGATTTCTCTTTTGGTAAGTTAGTGAGTGAAACTATGGTTTCAGAGACATCCTAACAATTCAATACCTCTATTCTAAATCTATTAGCAAGGATCGTTTAACCACTTGCCTACCGGGCACCTATACCCCCTTCCTGCCCAGGCCAATTTCCAGTTTTCAGCGCTCTCACACTTTGAATGACAATTGCGCAGTCATGCAACACTGTACCCATATGAAATTTTTAGCATTTTTTTTGAGACAGATAGAGCTTTCTTTTGGTGATATTTAATCACCTCTGGGTTTTTTATTTTTTCTTAAACAAACCAAAAACCACTGAAAATTTTGAAAAAAAAAAGTTTTTTCTTAGTTTTTGTTATAAAGTTTTGTAAATAAGTGATTTTTCTCCATCACTGATGTGCACTAATGAGGCTGAAGTGATGGGCACTGATAGGCTGCATTGATGGACACTGATAGGTGGCACTGATGGGCACTGATGAGGAGGTACTGGTAGGTGGCACTCATGGGCATTGACAGGCATCACTGATGGGCACTGAAAGGCAGCACTCATATATGGCACTGAAAGGTGGCACTGATAGGCGACACTGACTGGCATTGATAGGTGGCACTGACTGGCACTGATGGGTGACACTGAAAGGCAGCTCAGATGGGCACTGATATGTGGCATTGATGTGCACTGATGGGCACTGGCAGGTAGCATGGATGAGCACTGACAGCTGGCACTGATGGACACTGACAGGTGGCACTGCTGGGGCTACACAAATCATCAGGGCACACTGATTATCAGTGCCCTGATGATCAGTGTAGATGTCCCCTCTGAGGGATGCCGATTACCGGCTCTCCTCTCGAGCTGTCAGTGTGACAGCTCGTGAGGAGAGAAATGCTGATAACCGGCATTTCCCTGTTTACATGTGATCAGCTGTGATTGGACACAGCTGATCACATGACCGAGCCGACATCTTCGGCTCTTTCTGTTGATCAGTGATCCGCTGTGTCCGAGGGACACAGCGCACCGCCGATTGCTATGCTGTGCGCTCCCGGAGCCGCACATGCGCGGTTTAGAATGGGACGACGTCATATGACGTCCTCCCAGAATGAGAGAACCGCCTTGCACACGTCATTGTACTATATGGCGGGCAGCAGGTGGTTAAAGAGTAACTCCACTTTTGTTATGAAAAAAGCTTTCCCCTCTGGATGATCTATGCACACATTTTTGCAAGAATTGTAACAAACTTTGTTGAAGAGTACTACCTTTTGTTATTTTGAAGAATTAGCTGTTTGTCTGTGTCCATGTAAAAAATAAATCTGTATGGGAGTGATTTTATAGTCAGCAAGCAGTTTCTGAACTTGCAGGGCTTTAGTGAAGAAAACTGCAGGGTCTGCAAACCTTTAGATATTAATATCCCTTAGGAAGTATCTCACTAAAATTTACATTTTTGTTGCAGGGAATACCTAAAATCTGACTTGTATCTTAGTGCAGATTTATGGGAAAAGCCAGTGAGCCAATCACACAAGCAGGAAATTACATATTTTTTTTTTTAGGGGGGGGGGGGGGGGGGTCTGTGCACTATCTGTGTCCAGAATGCTTCCCCAGGTAACCAAATTGCATTGAATTTTACATAAAATGACAGCGCTGCATAATGAAAAGGAAAGATCATTTCTTAATAACATTCAATTACAAAATTACTGATGTTGCAATTGTTGTATGTGCTATATATTTTTTTTTATTTATTATTTTTTTCCTATGATCGTGGAAATACCCTTTGCATCTTTAAAAATGATCCCCATAGCATCTAAAAAGATTTTGCACATTTAGTCTTTGGTCTAAATAATCCTGCAACAGGCAAACGTAAATAACAGTTTTCTCTTTCTTAGCGGAGTCTAAGAGTGCTGCTGGAATGAGTCAGTGTGATCACTTGCATGAACTAGAAGACTGGGATATAGTTATCGGATGTACTTATATAGGTTTAAAAGAGAACTATTAAGAGCCATTTCTCTTTGTCTAGCTTTTGGCCTAAAGATGTTAAATGGATACTGTTACCTCTGTGCAATGAGATATGTTTCAGTTAAAAGCTTTCACTTGCTGCCAGATCTCCCAACAGAAAGTCTGCATTTAATGGGAATTCCGGACCAGCAATGCTTTGTTATTTTCAATACAAATCTGCCAAAGATATAAAATGCATTACACATTTGAGAATGGAGGTAAGTGGATTTTAAAAAATAGGAGATACAAACCTCTGAATTTCCAAACACATTTTCTTACAGCTAAAGTCAAAACTTATTTTAGTTTTGGACAGAGTGGAAATGGATTAGAAGACTTATTAGGTTTTAATTGCTGTCTGTGCCCCCTTTAATGAGATTTACCCTCTCTATTTGTCCTGTTTACCCTTATCATTGAAAGTGAAAGTAAAATAAAATCCCAAATTTTGGGTGTTCCCCAGAAAAGTAATAGAGAGGAAATCTTCCAATAGGGACAATAGTTCTGGTGACATGGGGGTCGCAAAGGCATTCCCTTGACCTTCAGGGATTTCCCCTCACTTCCTGCTATGAGACAGGAAGTGAGGGGAAATCTCCACAATGGAACACAGATAGCAAAAAAATATGACAGGGGTTGCTCTATCGAAAATGAAAACAAAGTTGTGCCTATAGTTTTACTTTAAGATAAAATATCTAAAATGGTATTCGGAAAAAATATATTATGGGGAACAAAATGTATTTCACTAATTGTATTAGTAAATTAAGACTTTTTAGCCAATGTCCTCCTTTGGGAGGGAGGGGGTGTAAAAACACGCAAGGAACTTTGGAACAGCATTAGAGTAGAACCATAAGTCTGAGTGGTCAACAATGAAGAAGATGAAATAAAAAATTTTTAGTTAACACAAGCAGTAGGGGACTGCTGGCCTTTGGGGCTTAGGAAACTGGAGTAAAGGGACATGATGATCCGAGCATAGTATAAATCCTGGGCAGAGCAGGGACATAAATCTGTATATTAGAGCAGGTAGAAGATCAGAGTAGACAAAAAGAAATATGTGGTTACCAGAAGCTTGTGATATTTACCAGGGAAGGTACGGAAAGACTTGCATGGTAGGAGTTTTCCCATTAAGCAGTCCATTGGATTGCCTAGCTGGACAACCACAACAAAGTGCCAGCACACAGTAGACCAATAACAAAGAAAGGACCTCTTGACAATTCAGAAGTAAAGTATTGTGAATAAGTATATATGGTCAGACATGTGGCAGCAGAACAAATGACCAGGCAAAATCTGTGCAGCATCTAGAACAAGAAGTTGCCTGTCCCTTTAGTGAATAAGGACAAGCTAGATGCATGAATACCTGGACATCGATCAACGGGTATTGATCAGCCATGGTATTACAAACTGCAGCCATAACAAATGAGCCCATCATTACAAGGTAAGGCATACAAATGGCACAAGAAACATAACTATGCTAATACCCAGGTAAAACAAAGAAAATATTTGAAAGCATACAATGCCTTTAATTCCTAAGGAAAGAATATATGACAAGGCTTTGAAAAAAAAAAAATAAATGACATTATTAATGTATTTAATTTGTCTAAATTGGTATCTTGGGGGTAAATGAGAAATGCAATATTAGGTTTTTCTGTTATTATTAAAGTATACAGTAACTTTGAAAAATATCAAAAACTACACACATGATACAGCCTGCCACTAGTAAAACTAAAGGCAAAAACTTTTTTTTAGTTTTGGATAGAGTGGAGAGGGATTAGAACACCCGTCAGATTTTACTGCTGTCTGTATCCCCGTTAAGGAGATTCACCCTCTCTATTTGTCCTGTTCGCCATTATCATTGAAAATGAAAGTAAAAGAAAATCCCACATTTTGGGAAAGGTAAATCTGTGCAATGGGGCACAATCTGACAGGGTTTATAACCACCCTTACTCTATCCAAAATGACAAAAAATGTTGCCTATAGTTCTACTTAAACACAGCCGTTTTTTTTTTTTTTTGAGTCTCCCTTGTAACATACACTATATTGCCAAATGTATTGGGACACCCCCTCCAAATCATTGGATTTAGGTGTTTCAATCACCTCCATTACCATAGGTGTATAAAATCAAGCACCTAGGCATGCAGACTGCTTCTACAAACATTTGTGAAAGAATGGGTCACTCTCAGGAGGTCAGTGAATTCAAGTGTGGTACCGTGATAGGTTGCCACCTGTGCAATAAGTCCATCTGTGAAATTTCCTTGCTACTAAATATTCTATGGTCATCTGTTAGTGGTATTATAACAAAGTGGAAGTAACTGGAAACAACAGCAACTCAGCCACAAAGTGGTAGGCCACATAAAATGACAGAGCAGGGTCAGTGCATGCTGAAGCACACAGTGAGCAGAAATCGCCAGCTGTCTGTAGAGTCAATAGCTAAATACCTCCAAATTGTGTGTGGCCTTCAGATTATCACAAAGCAGTGCGTAGAGAACTTCATGGATTGGGTTTCCATGGTCGAACAGCTATATCCAAGCCTTGCATCACCAAGTGCAATGCAAAGTGTCGGATGCAGCAGTGTAAAGCACACCACCACTGGACTCTAGAGCAGCGGAGACAAGTTCTGTGGAGCGATGAATCACGCTTCTCTGTCTGGCAATTCGATGATCATGTCTGGGTTTGGCGGTTGCCAGGAGAACGATACTTGCCTGACTGCATTGTGCCAATTGTAAAGTTTGGTGGAGGGGGGATTATGGTTGTCTTTCAGTGGTTGGGCTTGACCCCTTAGTTCCAGTGAAGGGAACTCTGAAGGCATCACCATACCAAGACATTTTGGACAATTTCATGCTCCCAACTTTGTGGGAACAGTTTGGAGATAGTCCCTTGCTGTTCCAACATGACTGTGCACTAGTGCACAAAACAAGGTCCATAAAGACATGGATGAGCAAGTTTGAGGTCGAGGAACTTGACTGGCCTGCACAGAGTCTTGACCTCAACCTGATGGAACACCTTTGAGATGAATTAGAGCAGAGACTGCGAGCCAGGCCTTCTTATCCAACATCAGTGCCTGACCTCACAAATGGTGAAACATTCCCATAGACACACTTCTGAACCTTTTGACAGCCTTCCCAGAAGAGTTAAATTTGTTATAGCTACAAAGGGTGGGCTAACTCAATATTGAACCGTACGAACTAAGACTGGGGTGCCATTAAACTGCATGTGCTTGTAAAGTCAGGTGTCCCAATATATTAGTGTAGTTTATTTACCTGTTAATCCTGAATGCAATAATAAAAAAGTTATATATTGCAGCTTGCACATGCTTACACATGCATGAGGTGTCTGTATTAGTTTTCTTTTTGTCAAGCTTAGTACACTTTCTGCAAGTACAGAGAAACACCTGTTGATCCTATCAGAAATATTGTGTCCTTATAATTTTCTGTGCCCTGAGTTGAGTATTCAAACAATGTTATAAGCTTTCTCAGCGATTGTCTGTGAACTTCAAACAAACATCCATCTATGTTGGTGGCCACAGGCTTTACAGAAACAATGGAGATAGTGTTAAGTCCCACTCCATATTCAAAACTTCAGCAGAATCTCCACTCTTAAGCCATACAGCAGGGGCCAGCCAAATGTCAATCAATGTATGTGTACTTTGGTTGTACAGAGGTCAGTCTACTGGTCAACTTGTGTACAGCCATCCTGTTGGGTTTTCCTCGCTTGATCAGTGCTGTAGGCTATGCCTTGCAGCGGTGATCAGTGTATTTTGACGGCGTAGAATTCTCCCTGAATGTCCCTGACAATCAACATCAAGTGTGTGAATGGGTCTTTTTTTTTTCTTGAACCTCACTATTGAAAGAAAAAAACAAACAAACAACTAATCTAAGGGCCCTTTCAGGTGTTTACTCATAACTGCGCTATTTATTTAAGTTCTTCTGCAATGGACAGACAGCTAGGCAGATGATTCAATAAATTGAAAAGGGATAGGACCAGTGTATGGAGACAAAGGGAAGAAGCTAAACATTTTTTTTTACTACATATTTTTTGTGTTTTTTTATGGGCATCCATTTTTTTATGTATTTTAATGGACATCCAATTGTCTTGTGTTCATGACATCCTCTTCTTCATAACCATATTGCTTTTAATAGTTGACTATATTAAGTGACACTTTAATATACTATAGCTTTATTGTGAACAATTTTAATACTTTTTTAAAAGATGGTGTATTTATTGACTACATAAATTAAAAATTGCTGTGCTCCTAATAAAAAAATAACAAATAGGAAATAGGAAATAAACACCTGCCAGCCCCTCAAATACAAACACATAAGGTTGCAATCAACTGGGGGCTATCAAAATAACAAAAACACAAAACACAAATAACTCCAAATAAGTGCGGAAACTAAACAAATCAGTGTAAACACATGACAGCCAGTCCAACCCACTCAATTGTGCTATATTGCAATTGAGAAATATATATATCTCAGTAGAACATTAATATAAATAAGGACAAAAGAGAAAATAAATAAGTTGTAATGCAATTTAAAAATCTGATAATAAACACCCAGCTACCCTGCAAACCCATAGGATTTGAATCACAATGGGAATTAAAGGCAATGTCCCACTGTGATCCAAAACATGAAGATACTAAAAAGACAGGCACCTTCTGTCATGCACACTCATCTTACATATAGGCCCATATAACATACAGGTCATAAGCACTTTAGACGTAGCAGTAACTCACCAGCAGGGGCGGACTGACAACTTATGGGGCCCCCGGGGCAATAGGGGATCATGGGGCCCCTGTGAACTTGCCCAAACTCAAAAAAACCTATGAAAAAGGTACCAGGGGCATCTCATGGGGCCCCCTACTGACCCCGGGCCCTCAGGTAGTGCCCGAGTTTCCAAATGGTCAGTCTGCCCCTGCTCGCCACTTAGCACTCCTGTTGTCGAAACTTTTCCACATGTCAAAAAGGCTTGTCCCATAAAATGTTCATATAGCCCAAAGTGATGCTTTTCTTTATCCTGATTTCCACTTCTATAGACTCTGCTCTGCTCCCACGTCACAAGCCAAAGAATCCAATTCTGTTTGTGCTGGTGACAATAACAAGACCATGGCTTAGGACAGGGGGGCTCCAGATTCTTCAGGATGTCACACTGGCTCTCACACTCTCCCCCTCACAGCCACATGCTCTCCTTTATTGGTTGTCTATATTTTTCTGTAAGTATAATGCTGGCTGAGGGAAGTTTTAATGATACTTGGCATTTTTAAGGCTTTAAATGATGCTGCAAGTGTTGGGATGGGGAATGCTGCAAAGGGTTATTATATGGCTGGTGCCTGAGGATATTATATTCTTTAAACAGTGTTCGCACTGAGATGGTATCCTCAATTTGTCGCAATAAACAAGCCATGGTGCCATAGAATTAGAATATTAATGATAAACCACCCTCTTGTCAGATCTCCTTGCATCACCCCAAGGGGAGTCAAACATTTAGCCAACTGGGAACATCCTTCAAAAGTGTCTGACCATGGAATTTCTGATGGAGGTGGGGATGCCTCTGCTTACTATCACACATTTGTTGTTCACAGCCTAGCAAGCAGAGACAGCAGGGGGTGCCTCAAGGAGGTCTTTCACAGCTTATTGTGGGCAGTTATAGGTGCTAGTTACAGGCAGACTTAACAACTGAACTGAATGGTCAGTAAGTATTTGGACTCCACACCCAAGAACCATTTGGACTACTGGGTGCAAGGATGGATCACTGGCTTGAGCTTGCCCAATGAGCACATTAGGTGCTGGCCTGCAATGCTGCAAGTGTCCTATCAATGAGGGACTTCAGTACAAGTATAATTGTGACTGGAAAAAAGATTTGTTCTATCCTCAGAGAACATGGATCAGCTCACTTTTACTAAATTAAACCAGGCTTAGGTCATAGAGAACTTGCACATTTTACCTTGCCCAACATCTTTAGATACAGTACTTTACAGGGAAGAGCCAAACACTTTTTTCTGTTGTTGTTACTGCTGGTCTGAGCTCAATAGAGCTACAAAGTATTAACTTTTGTCCTCTCATGTAGGCAGGTGCAGTCTGTCCTCCATCTGGTAGGTGGTGTTGTGTTGCTGTGCCTTTGTGCAGATGGCATGGAGGCTGGGAGAAACATTGTTCCTCTGCAGACTTCATAGGTTTCACCAGGTAAGCAGCTGTCCAAATGGACATTTGGCAGCCATCTCTGGAATAGACAGTGTGAATAAATATCAATGCACTTCCGGATTTGTGCATTTTGTAAGTGGAAAGTGTAGGGAAAAGATCCACACTCCTGATATAGCTTAAGGGAAAGGTTCCTCTGTAAGGAGAGACTAGAGACACCACTGCGTGCCTTACTACTTTCCAGTCTTCGGGACTACTAAATAGGACCTGAACAGCTTCCTCAAGTGCTGCTTGTGCCACCACCTAGCCAGTCGGGCACCTCCTGCAGATTCCAATGAAGAAAAAAACATTTGATGTGTTCATTGAAATGAGTGAGAGGGTAAAAGCATTTAAAGAGCTCACTGGCTCAGATTAAGCAGCTCACAACAGAGAAGGATACCTTCCAGTGTGTACCTGGCAGGTTACCAGAAAAAAAAAACACAAATGGAAAGAGAGCCAGACCAAATGATAAACGGATCCAAAATAATTTATTATTTTGTATGACTAAAACAGCCAACAGTTTTCAAGGGTCAGAGAAACTCCCCCTTCATCAGGGCTTCAGTTAAATCAAGAACCTTGAATGAACTCAAAATAGATCTTTCCTGTATGAATCTGTGCAGGGGACCTAATTGCTGGTTCAGGAGAGTTACCTTACATGTGCCTTTACCATGTTGTGAACAAAAAAGAAATGCATAAAGAGTACGTGTATACTGTATATATATATATGTGTGTGTGTGTGGTGTGTGTGTGTGTGTGTGTGTGTGTGTGTGTGTATATATACACATGCCCACCCTTTGCAGCTATAAAAAAATCAACACTTCTGGGAAGGCTGTCCACAAGGTTTAGAAGTGTGTCTATTAGAATGTTTTCCCATTCTTCCAGAAGTGCATTTTTGAGGTCAAGCACTGATGTCGGAGGAGAAGACCTAGCTCACAGTCTCTACTCTAATTCATCCCAAAGGTGTTCTATTGGTTTGAGGTCAGGACTCTGTGCAGACCAGTCAAGTTCCTCCATCAAAAACTCACTCATCCATTTCTTTATGGACCTTGCTTTGTGCACTGGTGCGCAGTCATGTTGGAACAGGAAGAGGCCATCCCCAAACTGTTCCCAGAAAGTTGGGAGCATGAAATTGCTATGGTATGCTGACACCTTAAGAGTTCTCTTCACTACAACTAAGGGCCCAAGCCCAACTCCTGATAAACAACCCCACACCATAATCCACCCTCCACCAAATTTTACACTTGGCATAATGCAGTCAGGCAAGTACCATTCTCCTGGCAACCACCAAACCCATACATGTGCATCGGATGGCCAGACAGAGAAGCGTGATTCATC